GCAGCAGAGTCTGTCTGTCTATCATCTATTGCTCCACTGCTCTACCCAGCCCGAGACCCGTCTGTCCTCAGCACTTTCCGTCCATCCACCATCGGCTCTGTCCAGCCACCCACCTGTCCACAGACTCATCTGTCCATTCATCAATTCATCCTCAGCTCTCTCATCCACCCACCCATCTGTCTGTCCTTATCTCCATCTATCCACCCAACCATCCATCCATCCACCCTCAGCTCCGTCCATCCATCCATCTCTCCCGTCATCCATCCACCCTCAGCTTTGTCCATCCCTCTGTCCTCAGTTATTTGTCATTCCCTCCATCCATACTCAGTTCTGTCCGTTTATCCATGCATCCGCCGCTAACCTTAACCACCCATTCCCCTCCACACCCCGCTACCCACGAATCCCAGCCTGCAGCTCCGGGAAGCACACCACATTTCAAGGCAATGCAAGTAACTGTGCGTACATTAGAGCTCTTAGGAGAGTCAAGCTTTAAAGAGGAAGCTGGCCTAAACCTTAACGATGGTAGACCAGACAGTCCTCTAGAATAAACCTATCCATCCCCGTACAACCCCTGCACGTATTCCCCTATCTATCCATCCATCCCCATCCACCTCTTTCCCTATCCATCCATCTGCCCCCTAACTTCCCCCCCCTTTCTCCTTTTCCATCCATCCATCTAGCCATCCTCAGCTGTCTATGTATTCTGAGACAATCTCTCCATACCCCTATGGGAGGGGAGTGGGGGTGGGTGGGTTAGAGCGGGGGGGCTGGGAGTCCAGGACTCCTGGGTTCTATCTCCATTCCCCCCATAAATCTGAGCTTGTCTCACCAGCTGCTATGGAGGGGACGAGGAAGGTGATGAAGCAGATGATGCTAGGGGCCGGCAGCCGTCCCATGCTCTCCGCGGGCTGGGAGCCGCCCCAGGAGTCACAGACCGGGACTGTCGATCAGACGGGACTCAGGGTCAGCAAGTAATGGCTGCTCCGGAGCGAGCAGCCCGGGCGCGCGATGGAAACTCTTGTGGCTGGCGAGGGGGAGGCGCCTGCTCAGATACCAGGCAGCCAGGAGGTCACTGGGCCTGTGGGCAGGTGAGTGTGAAAGCGAAACTGACCAGGGGTGTTGCGTTCAGCAGCAGGACGGGTTCATTTCTGCATCCCCAGGGCCCTCGGCCTCTCTGACGCAGCCGCTGGCCGTAGGGCTGGGGTGCTCTGGTGGTGACGGTGTCCTTATCGCTCCGTGGGTCCCAGCCCCCTCTCACTGCCCCGAAATGATCCCCCAGTGGATCCCAGAGGGAGCTGCTGGCTCCAGGGACCACCAGAGGAGATCTGCTATCCCAGGGGCAGCTGGGAACTAGGTGTCAGTGACAGGATCATCGGGGGGTTTCCATCGTCAGGGCAGAGATTGGTGCTCGGGAAGAGCTGGAGGTGACAGGAGTGCAGAGGGAAAACAGGGTGTGAGGGATGGAGAGAGAGAGAGCGAATTACAGGGAGGACACAGAGCTATAGCCAAATAGAGAGTGTATTACAGATGGATGGATAGATGCAGGGCCTTACCTGGTGAGGCCACACCTGGAGTACTGTGTCCAGTTTTGGGCCCCCCACTACAGAAAGGATGTGGACAAATTGGAGAGAGTCCAGCGGAGGGCAATGAAAATGATTAAGGGGCTGGGGCACTTGACTTACAAGGAGAGGCTGAGGGAACTGGGGTTATTTAGTCTGCAGAAGAGACGAGTGAGGGGGGATTTGATAGCTGCTTTCAACTACCTGAAGGGGGGTTCCAAAGAGGATGGAGCTCGGCTGTTCTCAGTGGTGGCAGATGACAGAACAAGGAGCAATGGTCTCAAGTTGCAGTGGGGGAGGTCTAGGTTGCATATTAGGAAACACTCTTCCACTAGGAGGGTGGTGAAGCACTGGAATAGGTTACCTAGGGAGGTGGTGGAATCTCCATCCTTAGAGGTTTTTAAGGCCCAGCTTGACAAAGCCCTGGCTGGGATGATTTAGTTGGGGTTGGTCCTGCTTTGAGCAGGGGATTGGACTAGATGACCTCCTGAGGTCTCTTCCAACCCTAATATTCTATGATTCTAGCTACAGACTGATCCATGGATGGACGGACAGAGGGCCCTACCACAGACAGATGGACAGAGTGAAGGATGGATGGACGGATGGATGGGTGGATGCAGACAGGGCCTTCTCCACAGACAGATGGACAGGATGAATTACTGACAGACAGACCAAAGGCACTGAGGATGGATTGATCCATCCATCCTGCCCCATTCCACCCTCTTCCATCCACCTCCTCCCGCCAGTAAAACACACGGGGCCAAACCCACCTACCTTATAGACAGACCAGCTGTCCCTGTGCTGCCTCCCAAGGCAGACGGGGAGGCCTGCTCCTGATTCACAGGCCACCCCAGCTTTGAGTAGAGGGGAATCCCCCACAGCTGTGGGCGGTCTGGGGTCCAGGACACAAGGAGGAGCGGGGCTGATCCATGCCAGCAGGGGGCGCACATGCTCACAGACACGTACACAGGCCCCTGTTACGTTTAATAGCACAGACACACACCTAACTCTCCTCCCCCCCTTATCCGGCCCATCTCAGAGGTGCTGACCACAAACGCTTCCACCGGCCCTCGTAGGCTGACGCTTCCGGAGGATGCTGAGGCTGAGCTGAGCGGGCCCTGCGGAGCCGCCCAGAGAGCAGGGACATGGAGCCGCTGCAAGCCCTGAGCCCCGTCCTCTGCATTGTCCTCCTCATCCCCACCTGGGCAGCAGGTAAGTCAGCAAATCTTGGCTAGCTAACCTGGGGGTTGGTCTGTCTACTCCCCCAGGTCAATCTGTCCATCCCTCCCCGTCCCCACAGCCATATCTAGCCATCCCCATACATCCCCATCTAGCTCATCTAATCCATCCATCCTTCTTCTGCAGTATCCCTCCAGCTTTCTGTTATCTATCCATCCACCCATCCTTCCCTCTATCTATCCATCCTTCTGTTAGCTCTCCATCCATCCTTCCCTCGACCGTATCTGCCCCTCCATCCTTCCCCCCACAGTATCTGTCCCTCCCTCCCTCCTCAAGACGTCTCTAATCTCTCGCCCCCCACACAAATCTTTAGCAGGCTGCAAACAGAAAATGTGGAGCAGGGTAAACTAGACTGGATTTAACATCGGATTAGCCAACCCAGGGCTGCTGTGCAGACTGGGATCATTCATTTCCTTACTGAATGTCTCACGACTGGAGAGTGCGCGTTAGGAGATCCCACTCTGTGCTGATCTACCCAGAATACAACATGTTACAGCCCCCAGCTCTTCTAGTTCAAGCTGTAGCAACTTGCGCTTTTAGATGTTGAGGTCCCCAGTTCAATCTGCAGCATGTTAGCCAAGGTGGCGGCCATCAGAAATGCACTAAACCCTTCTCATGGACTTTAAAGCCAAAAGGTACCTTCACGATTCCCTACTCTGACCTCCTGCACATAGCAAGCTACAGAACCTCACCCACTCACTCCTGTTTTTTCATTCAAATGAAGCTGTCGCAGAAATTCCAGTTGGTTGCAAGAGAGCGCCGAACCCAAATGTGGGAGCATCCAGCCAGGAACCAGGTGAGTTTCCTGCGCAATTCAGGGACATGGCTCTTGATAAGGTGAACACATTACTGGATTTATCCAGGCATCTAGGATTGCAGATCTTCCCTGGAGATAGATAAATCGATGTTGATCTAGGGAACGAGGGACAAAAATGGAGAACAGATGTGAATTAAGAGACATGGGTCTAGGAATGAAAGGTTGGATGGACGGCTCTAGGACTGGAGAATGGCTGGATGGGTCTATGGCTGGATGGATCTATAGATGGATAGAGCTAGGATGGATAATGGATGGATGGATCTAGGGTCAGAGGATGGATGGATGAATCAAGGAGAATCCAGGAACAGAGAGAGACACTGCTACTAAACTAGCGAGAGGTGAAAGTTTAGCTCTACACACAGGAACACAGCGGCTGACGCTCTCTCTAAAGGCCAGGACAGGTCTGTCCTGCCGCACGGTGCTGCCCGGTGTATGATGCGGGTTCTCTCTCTTCCCTAGCTGGTCTTGGAGTTTCCCAGGAGCCCATGTCCCTCAACACAACAGCCGGGGATAACGTGACCCTGAGCTGCTCCTTCCAGAGCAGAAATGGCAGTAGAGCCAAGGTGCTTTGGTTCAGGGGATCTGGAGAAGACGTGGTGCTGGATGCTAACTACCCCTTCTACCGGGGGCGGCTCCGTGTGTCCAGTCTGGATGAGATCAGAAAGGGGAACGCGATGCTGACCCTGTCTAAACTGGACAAGAGAGACTCTGGCCTCTATCAGTGCTGCATCGAAATCCAGAATGAGACGACAGGGATGGGAGGAGGCACAGATCTAAGAGTGATGAGGAGAAACCAGAGTGTGACTGGTAAGAGTCGGGGGGGGGGGGGGGGGGGACATGGGGGGCCCGTCCCCCCTAGGAGACACTGGTGCCAATCCGGCTCCAAGGTGGGGGCCGGGCTGGCTCTGGGAGCAGGGAATGGGAGATGAGGCTGGCTCCAAGCAGGAGTGGAGATCAGGAATATCTGACCGACGCTCATGCTGTGGGGGGTGGGGTGGGGGTGGGTCAGGTTTATATTAAACAATCTCCCGGCCGATTCGAGGCGGCTTTTCTGCCGAGTTGTCACTGGCTGCAGCTCTGGTGTGTCTCACATCCTGTCAGTGCCTCGGGGTGAGAGAGGTGGTCAGAAACCCAGAGAGCCACAGTGTGCCCAGAGATGTCTCTCTCTCTCTCTCAATTTGTTCTCTCGCTATTGGCCCGGGCTGGCTCTGAGCTCTTTGCCCTGCTGCAAGTGAGGTTATGACCCGGCCCTGCTGAGTCACTGTGGGAAGATCAGACTCATAGTGGCAGCTGCGAAGGGCTTTGCAATAGGCGCCGGTGGAGACTGGGGGAGTTTTCTTGCAGTGTTTGTTGAAGAGGAAGTTGGTTGCTTAATGCAGGGATGAGTGAGGGGCACACAACCCCAGAGCCAGAGACACAGAGAAGCACATGCAGGTCCAGAAATCAGCCACCCACAGCCCCATAGACACGCAGCCGCAGACCCAGAGAGAGACCAGAACGGCCCCATGACCCACACAGCACCACCACGCTCTCTGCTGCGCCAGTCACTTGAGATTCTCTCCCCTTGGTCCCATGTATGAATGGAGG